CCCTTGGCTGGGGTGGTCACCCCCCCAGGAGCCTCGGGGACCAGCTGGGAGCGGCTCTCGACCCCTGCAGGGGGATCCCCAGCCTCATGGATCTCTTTGGACTGCCAGATTGTCTTCACCACCACGCTCGCCATGGCGTGTGGGGGGCCCTGCTCCCAGGGGCTCCTTCCTCTGAGACTCTCCACCTACTCTGACTAGGGACCCTCAGAGTCCCTGTCCCCACAGCCTGCCTCATAAAGGACCCAACCACTAGGCCCCAGTAAGGGGGGGTGCATAGGAGTAGAAAAAGGTATTGGCTAGCGCATGCCCCCAAGGGGTTTCTGGGAACACCTACTAGTTCTTTTTTTTTTTTTAATATTTATTTATTTGACAGAGAAAAAGAGAGAGAGCACAGGCAGGTGGAGCGTTAGGCAGAGGGAGAGGGAGAAGCAGGCTCCCTGCTGAGCAGGGAGCTCAACAGGGTGCTCGATCCCAGGACCCTGGGATTATGACCTGAGCCGAAGGCAGATGCTTAACGTACTGAGCCACCTAGGTGCCCCAAACACCTCCTAGTTCTACCAAATATGTCCCTTCCATTAGAATTGCAATGCATGTATTCATTCTAGTCCAGAACTTACAATGGATGGGCCCACTGGTTCTTGGGAGGAGTTTAACTTCCCTTCCCCTGAGACTGTGGGGTCACCCAACCCCCATTCCCCCATTCATACTTGATTCTTCATGCAGTATCCTAGACTTGGCACTTTCTGGGACCTGGGGAGACCATGGCGAATGAGGATTGAGTCCCAGTGCTGGAGGATCCAACATTTTGGGTTGGGGGGGTGGAGCAGGCAGGCAACAGACAGAAACAAACCAAAATACCAGGTGTTGGTAAGTGATACAAGGAGAATCAACACCAGGGGATGGTGGTGCTGTGCTCGTGGAAGCCCATCGATTTGCCCACTTGGGATGTGAGCCTTCTATTGCATGTGGCTCTTGCCTATTAAAAAAAGAAACTAAACAGACATTGAACTATAGTCGATGATAGGCATTTTGAAGGATTTGGGGTTGTAGCTGTTTCCTGGGGCTGCCATAACAAAGTCCCACAGACTAAACAACAGACATTTATTGCCTCCCGGTTCCGGAGGCCAGGAGTCCAAGATCAAGGTGTCGGCAGGTGGCTTCCATCTGAAGCTGTGAGGGGGCATCTGTTCCAAGCCTCTCTCCTTGCTTCTGGTAGCTCAGACATGACTTGGCTTATAGATGTTCATCTCCTGTGTCTTCATCTTGTCTTCTGTCTGTCTATGTCTATCTCTGCATCTAAGCTTCCCCCATTTTAAGGACATGGTCTTGGGGGCGCCTGGGTCAGTTAAGCGTCTGACTTCGACTCAGGTCATGATTTCAGGGCCCTGGGATTGAGGTCCGCTTTGGGCTCCACATTCAACAGGGAGTCTGCTTCTCCCTGCGCCCCCCCTCCCTGCTCGTGCACATGGGCTCTCTCACTAAAATAAATACATAAAATCTTAAAAAAAAAAAAAAAATAAGGACATGGTTGTGGTGCCTGGCTGGCTCAGTAGGAGGAGCATGTGACTCTTGATCTCAGGGTCATGAGTTTGAGCCCCATGTTGGGTGTAGAGATTATGTAAATGCATGAATAAATAAACTTAAGAAAAAATAAGGACATGGTCATCTTGGATTAGGGCCCGCTCACATCACCTCAACTTAACCTGATCATCTACAAAGACCCTATGTCAAAATAGTCAAATTCACAAGTCCTGCGGGTTTAGGACTTCGACATGGAGACAGGATGATGTTAGGACACAACTCAACCCACAACAGAGATGAGCTGCATTGATGTCTGAAACTTATTTTTTGTATGCATCAAAACACAAAATGGATCGATGGAAGGAGGGAAGGCCAGATGGAGAAATATGTGCTAGATCAAGCGGAGTGCGATGTTAATAACAGAACAGAGGTCGAGAGGGAGGTTATATGCGTGTTCACTGTACAGATGTTTCAACTCTCTGAATATTTAGAAATTTTCATAATAAAATATTGAGGTAGAAACTTGGTGATGGGCATGAAATGGTCTGATGAGGACAGCTTGCTTTAAAATAATCCAGTAGGGGGGTGCCTGGGTGGCTCAGTCGGTTAAGCCTCTGCCTTCGGATCAGGTCATGATCCCAGGGTCCTGGGATCAAGCCCCACATCGGGCTCGCTTCTCCCTCTCTCTCTGCCTGCCGCTCTGCCTACTTGTGTTCTCTTTCTTTGTCAAATAAATAAAATCTTTAAAGAAAAAAGAAAAAAAATTAAAAGTGCCCTGGTGTGTGTGGGCGATGGACTGTGCGTGGCCAGGATGGAAGCAGGGAGAGTCGTGAGGGACATCACTGCAAGATTCCGGGTAAGAGATGATGGTGATGGTGGTCTGCATGGGGTGAGAGAGTGATGACAGAGGGAGCTGGCTGACTTCAGATGTGTTCTACCCTTAGTTTGGGGTGAGGGACAGGGAGGACTTCTGGCAAGAGTGCCTGGGGGAATGATGGAGGGCCCATTTGCCCAAATGGGAAGACTGGGGATGAATCCAGTTTTTCTGGAGAAAATCAAGAGTTGGTTTGCTGAGGCCAGAGTCTTAGAAGTTATTGCTGGTTCAATCCATGAGATCCTTGAGGGCCCCTGGGGTTTCCTCTTAATGCTCCATCTTAAAGCCAAAAAGGGTCTGCTCAAAGCTCATTGGACTCCCCAAATGTGGACTTGTTCGTAGTCTGGTCTTAAAACCTAACAGTGGGTGAGCCTCTGAGCCCCATCGCGATCTTGCTCAAATCAGCCCTGTAATTGTTTTTAATTTTTTAAAAAAAGATTTTATTTATTTATTTGGCAGGGAGAGACAGAGCGAGAGAGGGAACATAGCAGGGGGAGTGGGAGAGGGAGAAACAGGCTTCCTACGGAGCAGGGAGCCCGATGCGGGGCTCAATCCCAGGACCCTGGGATCATGACCTGAGCCAAAGGCAGACCCTTAAGGACTGAGCCACCCAGGCGCCCCTGTTTTTAATTTTTTTTTTTTTTTACTCTCCTATAATTCTATGCTGTCCAAGTTCACAACCATGATCAATGGCTACTAAGTGCTACAATGTGGTGAGTCTCAACCTAAGATGTGCTATAAGTAGAAAACACAGATTTCAAAGATTTAGGAAAATTAGGGACACCTGGGGGGCTCAGTCAGTTAAGCGTCTGCCTTTGGCTCAGGTCACGATCCCAGGATCCTGGGATTGAGTCCCGCATCGGGCTCCCTGCTTCGCGAGGAGCCTGCTTCTCCCTCTGACCCTCCCCCTTTCATGTACTCTCTCTTTCTCATTCTCGCTCTCTCAAATAAATAAATAAATCTTTTAAAAAAATGAAATAAATAAAACAGCTGAGCATGTCCTTCCTCCTAGAACCCAAAATGATTTCCCCAAGGCCCATGGAAACCCAAATGGACAACCGATCCATTAAACCCGGAAGGCACGCCTCAGTTCTTGTCCTGGTCCCCATCCGGTCCCTACCCTCCCCACTCTGGGATTCAGAGTGGAAGTTCACAGGATCCAGGACACTCCCTTAAGGCTCGTTCCAATACTAGACTTCTGAGATTAGAAAAGTGATGTGGGGTTTAGTCCCTCTAAATGACAGAAATGGACTCAAGTTCCCTTTGCCCCAAATTTCTCAATAGCCGGGGGCGTCGTAGTTCCTGAGGCTTTGCCTTCCCCCAAATCAGTCAATCAAAGAGGGTCTCGGGGTGCTAAGGGTGGTGGTCCGGCCAAACCAAATAGATTCATCTATTCCTTCCTTCTAACCAGCGTTCTTCAGTACCAGGTCCCATTTTTTTTTTTTTTTAAGATTTTATTTATTCATTGAGACACAGAGATAGAGAGAAAGAGAGAGAACAAGAGCAGGGTGAGAAGCAGAGGGAGAGGGCGAAGCAGGCTCCCCACCGAGCCAGGAGCCGAATGTGGGGCTCCATGTGGGGCTCCATGTGGGGCCATATCCCAGGACGCTGGGATCACGACCTGAGCCCAAGGCAGACGCCTAACCATCTGAGCCACCCAGGTGCCCCACCAGGTCCCATTCTTGCTCAGGAGGAACTCCAAGTTTGGTGGAGGAGCGATTCACGATTTTGGGATTTGATAACTGTAGTATGCCGTTATGGTTGCCAAAAAACAAAAACAAAAAACACTGTATATTGGAAAGTGGTTAAAAAACAAAATATAGTTTAAACCCCCGCTCTGTTATTCTGAGCTGTGTGACCTTGGGCAAGTCATGCAACCTCTCTCGACCTCAGGTTTAAGGTCTGCCTAATGGGGCTAGATTTAAATTACTGTTTCCTCGGTTCTGAGAAATTAGGTTTCGACATCTCAGCCGCTAGACATGGGAGGGGGAGGGGTAAGGGAAGACTTCCTGGAAGATTTAAGGAGTCGGGGATGGAAAAGAGGAGAGAGAAAGGGAAACAGGGGGACGCTTGCGCAGTAAACACCTCACATTTTCTTGCCCCTCCCAACCACTTCTCTGCAGCAGGGAATTGCAGGCGACGCTCCACCTATCCTAGCCCAGCTGAGTGACAACCCCCGTTTCCCTTCCTTCTCTACCTATGATCGCTCTTCTCCCGCCCCCACAACAGCCCAGTCGGGGGCGGGAATAGGGCAAATCTGGCGAATCTGCGGCGCCTGCGTGGGCGACCTGCCCGCTCATTGGTCATGATCAACGCAAGTCCCGCCTGCCCGAGCCCACTCCTCCGCCTTCCTTCATGTCAATCCCTCCCTTCGCCGGATCCAATTAGCATCGGACCCGGCCGCACGGAGGGGGCGGTCCCACCGCACGTACCCGAACTCCTCCCGCCTCTCGGGCAACGCCCCTTCCCCCCCCTTCCTACGAACGGAAATAGCGGGCCACTGGGCCAATCGTAGCGGCGTGCCTTTGTCCAGCGGCCAATGAGAGAGGAAGCGGGGGGTGAGCCCGAGTCTGAGCGGCAGTAATCCGAGCCAATGGGAGGCTGATAGCTCAGGATGGCGGACGGGAGGGGAGGGGCCGGGGGCGGAGCCGCGGCCTGCCGCCCGCCCGCCCGCCCGCCAGCCAGCCCTCCCCCCTGGCCGGCTCGGCTCCTCCGCGCTGCTTGGGGTCCTTTCCTCCCGGTCCCCGCCTGCCAGCCCCCGCCGCGCTGTGCCCTGCCCGGCCAGGCCTGGAGCCGACACCACCGCCATCATGCCGGCCGTCTCCAAGGGCGATGGGATGCGGGGGCTCGCGGTGTTCATCTCCGACATCCGGAACTGTGAGAGCGCGGCCGGGAGACACTGGAGGGAGGGGGAGCGTGGAATTGAGGGGCTCGAGGGTTACAGAGGGGCCCGGGGCATAGAAAGCCATTACGGTCGTAGAGGGAGAGGATAGAGAAGCTCCGGGGGGAACTTTAGGGTGGGGGGAATGGAGGGACTTAGGGTGTCATAGAGAGCCTCTTGAGGTGACGACACGGAGTGGCTAGAGGCGTCCGGGAGGTTCTTAAAGGAGAGGAGGCTAGTACAGTCTCAGGGCTGGGGACATAGAGGTATCCCCTGGGAATGATAGAAAGGCTTGGGGAACCTATTAGCGACGGGGTTAGAGAAATCCCTGATGTCGATAGAAAGGGAAGGAGGTGCATGGGTGCGGGGGTACCCTGTGGAGCGATAGAGTGGGAGAGAGCCAGAGGGGACCGGGAGAACCTAAAACACAAGAAGCATAATGGGGCCAGGCTTTGAGGGCATGGCTGAGGGGGTGTCAGAGAGGGGAAGGGGCCAGGTAGGTCACTGAGGCTCCTGGCTAGTGCACAGAGAGAGCCTGGGAGTAATAGAAAGTTCCGGGGGGTTGGGGAGGAGAGATGGGAAGGTGGGGGACTATAGCGGGACCCTGATGAGGGACAGAGGGGCTCTAGGGTGGAGGATGGCTTAGGAGACATGGAGGGCAGTGGAGAGTGGGCTAGAAGGGTCGCTAAGGGGAGAGGAGGAGTCAAGGAATACAGAGGAGAGGTGCTGCAGGTGGAGGGTCTTGGGAAAACCTGAGACAGGAAGTTGGAGGCCTGGAAAGAAGAGATTATAAAGTGGGGGTTTGGGGAATGTGCCAGAAGGGGGAAAGCCCGGAGCTCAAAGAAGGGACCAGGGAGCCTTAGGTATTTGCGGGGAAGAGATCTGGAAAGCTGGGGGTTGGGGAAGCCTGGGCCCAGAGAGAGGTCAGAGGTCGGGGATCACGCCAGTCTGAATCTGGAGCCCTCTCCCATCTGACCACATCAATATGGGGACAGTGATCATCAGCAGGAAGGATTGTCGTGACGAGGAGAGACCTGGTGCCAAGTCAGCTCCCAACTCCTGGGAGTGGGTGTTGGTGTTTCGAGCTGCCAAGAGCCTCAGAAGCTATATCCGCATGGGCTCTAGGGTCAGCAAGACCTGGGTTTGAGTTTGGGCACTGTCACTCCCTAGCCATGTGACCTTGAATGGGGGACTTCACCTCTTGATTTCCTCATCTGTCTGGAGGGACTGCCGATTGCACCTTCCTGATGAGGTTGTTGTGATAATGTATGTGACTGAGGCCTTCTGCACATTCCAGGCACTGGACGGTCTTGGCTGTTGTTTTTGTCATTCGCTGGATTTGACACATGGCCTCTGTTAGATGCCCAGAGATTATCTTAGAATTTAGTAGGTCTGAAAGGACCTGGCACGTAGTAGGTGCTCAGTGAACAAGAGGGGTGGAAGCCGTTGGGTATCAGGTGGAGGAGAGATGTTATGGTTTTTATGGAAAGAGGTGAGCAAGGAGGGGCTGTGGGTTAGGTGGGGGGCCGGCTGTTAGGAGTAGGTGTGCCTTGCCCCTGATGCCTACCAGCAATGTGAAGCAGTGTGACTCTGGGCAAGTCATTTAACCTCTCTGAGGCTCAGTTTTCTCTCTTTCTTTTTTTTTTAAGATTTATTTATTTAGAGAGATCACGAGTGGGAGGGGCAGAGGGACAGGGAGAGAGAGAATCTCAAGCGACCCTGCACTGAGCACAGACCCTGACGCGGGACTCAGTCTCACAGCCCTGAGGTCATGACCTGAGCGGGAATCAGGAATCAGGAGTTGGCTGCTCAACCCAGGCACCCCTGAGCCTCAGAGTTCTTGTCTGCACACTCCCCTGATAATAGCATCTTGTCTCTGAAGGTTCATTCGTTCATTCAACAGATAGTTTTTGATCACTACTTTTTTTTTTTTTGATTTTATTTATTTTTATTTGAGAGATAGAGAATGAGAGATAGCACGAGAGGGAAGAGGGTCAGAGAGAGAAGCAGACTCCCTGCTGAGCAGGGAGCCCGATGTGGGACTCGATCCCGGGACTCCAGGATCATGACCTGAGCCGAAGGCAGTCGCTTAACCAACTGAGCCACCCAGGCGCCCTGATCACTACTTTTTGACACTGTACCCTGGGCCGGGCTACAACAGTGAACAAGAATCCCTGGCTTGGGAACACCCAGGGCATGAGGGACATAGAAAATAAACACAGAACTACAATAAATGATACCATGTCAGAGGGTGACTGGTAGTGTGAAGGAAAGGAAGGAAGGAAAGATGAGGGATCAGGATTGAGGTGGTGCTTGGGTAGGCCCTCACCAAGGAGGTGACATGTGAGTAGACTTTGAGTTAAGTGAGGGAACAGGCCCTGCAGATTTTGGAGGGAAGGGCGGTCCAGGCAGAGGAATGGTATGTTCAAAGGTCCTGGGGTTGCAGCATGTTTGGCGTGTGTTCCGGTAAGAGCCAGGGCACCCGTGTGGCTGGAGCTGAGGTGGAGAGGGCAGGAGATGAGGACAGAGAGGGGACAGGGGTGGTGAAGGGCTTTATGGGCCTTAGAGAGCACTCTGGCCTTTCTCTGGGTGAAATGAGAGCGGCAGGAAGGTTTAGAGCACAGGACGGACGTGAGCTGATTGATGTTTTAAAATAATTTCTCTGCTGGGGCGCCTGGGTGGCTCAGTCGTTAAGCGTCTGTCTTCCGCTCAGGTCATGATCCCGGGATCCTGGGATCGAGCCCCGCATCGGGCTCCCTGCTCGGCGGGAAGCCTGCTTCTCCCTCTCCCACTCCCCCTGCTTGTGTTCCTGCTCTCGCTGTCTCTCTCTGTCAAATAAATAAATAAAAATCTTTAAAAATAAATAAATAAAAATAAAATAAAATAATTCCTCTGCTGCCACGAAGAGAAAAGACTCAGGAGGTAGTGGCAGAAGGAGGCAGATAATTAGGGGCTGCTGCAGGCATCCAGGTGAGAGATGGTGTTGGCTTGACTGGGGCGAGAAGTGAGTGGTGAGAAGTGGTTGGTTTGGGGACAGATTTTGAAGGATTTGCAAGGGGATTGGATGATGGGGGTGGGGAAGGAACAAGAAAACAGGTCGGCATTACTGCAGGACCCCTGAGGGGAGACTCTGACTTGGGGCCAGTAGAGGTAATTTGGCCACATGAATTGGGGCTAGAGAATCAGGGATTCCTCTTGTTCTTCATCTTCTCATCAAGTAAATGTCGAATGGCTCATGTGTTTCAAACCTTATAGAGGGTGCTGGGGACACAGTGGCGAACAGGACAGGTCTGTCTGTGTCCCTGTAAAGCTCCCGGCCCCGTGAAGGAGACAGGTACTGCATAAAAAAGGACAGGTAGCTGTCCTTCTCACCGTGTATACAGATGTTCATAGTAGGGTTAGTCACCATAGCCCCACAATGGAAGCAGACAACCCAGATGTCCGTCATCGGATGAATGGATGTACAAAATGGGGTCTGCCACACAATGGAATCTTATCAAGCCATTAAAAAGAATGACACACTTGGTGCACCTGGGTGTCTCAGTTGGTTAAACATCTGCCTTCGGATCAGGTCATGATCCCAGGGTCCTGAGATCGAGCCCCCTTTTGGGCTCCACGCTCAGCGGGGAGTCTGCTTCTTCCTCTCCCTCTGCCCCACCCCCTGCTTGTGCTCTGTCTCTCTCTCTCAGATAAATAAAATGTTTAAAAAGCCAGGGCGGGGGGCATCCTGGGTGGCTCAGTCAGTTAAGCTTCTGACTTTGGCTCAGGTCATGATCCTGGAGTCCCGGGACAAGTCCTGTGTCAGGCTCCCTGCTCAGCAGGGAGTCTGCTTCTCCCTCTCCCTCAGCTCCTACCCCCTGCTTGTGCTCTCTCTCTCAAATAAAATTAAACAAAAACAAAAAAACACTGAAAAAAAAAAAAAGAATGACACACGCTACAACATGGATGAACTGTGGCGAAAGCCTCGTTCTAAGTGAAAGGAGCCAGACACAAAAGGCCACATACATGATTTCATTTGTATAAGATGTCCAGAACAGGCAAATCCATAGGGATAGAAAGTAGGTTAGTGGCCACCTAGGGCTGGGTAGGGGGTGGTGGAATGTGGAGAGACTGCCAGTGAGTGTAGGGTTTCTTTTTGGGGTGATGAGAATGTTCTGGAAATAGATCATGGTGATTGTTGCACGAAACTGTGGATATACCGAAGACCACCGAATTGCACACTTTAGAATGGTGAACTTTATGGTATGTGAATTGTATCTCAATTTTTTGTTGTAAGCGGAAAAAACTTGTAGCTGTCCTAAGTCCAGTGAAAGAGAAGGCCACAGTGTTGAGAGAATGAAGACTCTGTCTGGTTGTATTGCTCAGACAATGCAGCAGAGTTTGCCAGGCCAGGGGAGGTGGGGAAGAGCTGCAAAGGCAGAGGGACAGCCATGCAAAGGTCCTGAGGCCCAGCGGAGACTGAGCTGAGGCCTATGTGCCTGGTGCACAGGAGGTTGGGGTGGGATCTGATGTCAGGCGGGTGGGCAGAGGCCGGGTTGGTGTTTGTCCTGAAAACACTAGGGAGGGTTTCGAGCAGGAGCGAGGGAAAAGAAGGCCTGAAAGATGTGGGTGAGCCAGCGCTCAGAGATGAGCAGGTGGAGGAAGGGGAGGGTTGTGGAAACATCTTGCTGGAGAATATGAAGGCATAGTGGAGTTCAGAGGGAAGACTGTAGAAGGAGGTGAAAAGCAGGCTTTGAGAAGGAAGGCAAGGAAGGGCAAATTCTGCAGATAAGAAGGGGAAAGGTTTGGGCTGAGCCCAGCCTGAGGGCATGGTCCTGTGCTGTCTTGAGTGGGGAATCTGCTTCCTAATCACTTAATCTGACCGGGAGCTTCCAGGGCCCGGGCTGGGGCTGTCTGGCTGTCTCCTCTCTAGGGCCCCAGCTCCCCGCAGGCCTGAGGAGAGTTTGCGAGGGAGTGAACAGGAAGGGGGGTGTTGGGTTGCCAAAGTGCCCTGAGC